CCCCCCCCCCCCCCCCCCCCCCCCCCCCCCCCCCCCTCGCCGCTCCGCGGGGGGGGGGGGGGGGGGGGGGGGGGGGGGCACCCATAGGCAGGTGTTTGTCTACGTCGCGTCGACTTTAAACCCATTATCACCTGAGTAACTCGAAGTGCCAGTTTGTTTAAGTGGCATGTCAATAAGGAGAGCTGGGCGGGTGGACAGGGCAGCCTGCCTGTCGGCGAGGGGGCGGCTGGGGGGAGCTGGTCATGTGGTTGGATGTCACATGTCCGCTTGGCTCACTCAGACGTTCTCCAGTTCAGAGGCTGGGACCCCAGCAGCCAATTGCAGGCCTGCGGCTCTGGAACGTTCCGTACGTCAGTGTGTGAACTCTGCCCCCCCTTGCTGAGCTCCTCTGGCTGCGATGTGGCTTATTCACTGAGCGGGTGGGGGTTACTGGGCCACGGGGGGATGCTTCCTTTCAATTCAGATCCTTCTCGGAAAAAGGGGGGACGTGGAGTCCAGCTCGTAACATCAATGCCCCCCCCCCAGTGCCCAGACACTCATGGCCGTATGGACCGGCCGCTGTGTCCCCCCCCCCCAGCCCCCCCCCAGTATGCCAGGGCTCTGTACGAGGGCTACTCCTCAGATGGAGGAATCTTGGCCCATTGACTGACTTTGCAGTTGTGTACTTATCTGAGCCATGGTGCCTCTTATCTGCCAATATAATCATTATAAAGTGCAGATCCACCCCCCCATTCCCCCCACCCCCTGGGGTGTGGACCTTAACACACCCACACAAATGTGAGGGGTAGCCATCAGAGCTGCTGAAGTCCACCATGGCCTGTTCACAACAAAGATAAAATCAGTGTATGCACCCCCCCCCCCCCCTCCGTACCAGCCAGCAGACCCAGATGTACGTTGGCCGAATGTACCAGCTAAAATTCCTGCCGCTATCACGGATTTGCATACACAAAACAAATATGCCCGGCCATCCTTGATGAGTCATAGCCCAGCATCTACCATTACCCGAGTCACTCATTCAACCTGCATGGTGTTAGAAAGTAATACAAGCACATTAACCGTGTGTGGGGTGGGGGTGGCAGTCAGGTGAATGGGGTTACTCATTTCACTGTGCTGTTTTTCCAACCCCCCCCCCCCCCAAGTCTCCATGCTGGCCCCACATGTGCTCACACTCCACTGCCTGTTATGATTTATTTTTTCCCCCAAAACCAAATTCAGCTTCATCGCTTTCTCGCCTGATGAAATCGTTCTTTCTTTTCTCACCTTTCCTCACAGGTAGAACAAGTGTCAGACCAGGAAATGCAATGACTCCACAGGCGAGTCTCTCCTGAGGTCCTGAAGGTTATTCTGAAAGATCTCCGATGTGCGGTCGACACCTGGTTCCCAGGGCCAGACCCTTGTGGTCTTCGAACCCGGGAAAGCACCTTCAAGAAGGCATCGGAGGGGAGGTCCCCCCTGCTGCTGATTCATTGCTGCCTTCGCCGATCTGTCTGGAGTGACACCAATGCTCCCTGTTAGTCACTGGAGGTGACACTGGGGTTCTGGTGACACTGGAAGGGGCCACATTTTAGCACCATGGTCAGGGATAGAAGCAGCAGTCTGCATCACTTCCTCTCCCTGAAATGAGACCCCTGTGCACCCCCCAACCCAGACCCTGTAGCCCTGGTGCATTCTGGGACAGCTGAGGTTTAAGATTTGTGTTTTAAACTTTAACTTGGTGCGTTTTAACCACCCGACTCCGTTTGTTTTCTGGAAATGTCACAATGGGTCAAACGGGACAGCGTGAGAGTCAGAGAGCTGCCCATAGGATCTGCCTGGGTGGGGAGTGGGGGGGGGGTCACTCCGCATTGGTAACAAGCACGTCGGGGGTCTTGCCTTCCACGTGGGACGCCCAGCATCGCCATGCTTATTGGGCATAAGCCGAGCATAAAAACGCACCGTTAGCGCCGTGGCGGTGGCTAATCTCCAGAGAGCGAGGGTAGCGTGGTGGTGCTAGACATGGGCATCAGCCCCGGGCGAGCAAGGCTCTGCCACGGGCCTGTCTAAGATTACACGGCGCTGATGCCAGCCCATGCAGGCTAAATTTGGAACATCCCCCCTTCGTGGGTGACATTTCTCCTAGGACAAATGGTGCTGGCTGCCACTAAGGGCAAACAGAGGTCACCGCTTGTTGGGGGGGGGAGGTGTCACGAGGCGACGGCCACTAGGAATCAACGGCCACTTTGGGTAAAACTTTGACTAGGAAAAACGTGGGTATTTAAAACAGACCACGGAAAAGCCTGGCCGGCAGGGGAAGTTGTTTTTTGCCTTTCAGCTCCGGTCCTGAGGGCAGAAGTGTGTGACCTAGGGTCTGACCAGTACAGTGCAGAGACTGTTGGGGGGCCTGGTGGGCAAAGCCTTTCATATACAGAGGGGCATGTTGTACCTTTAAAGGGAGGCACTTTATTTAGTTTTGGCAAAAGGGCCAGGTGCTCAGGCACTGCCCCCCCCCCCCCCCCCCACTCCCAGGTTTAACATAAGGAACAAGGCAAAGTCCTGGTTAAGGGGTGACAGGAGGAGCTGCTTTTGTACCTTTAAGGATAATGCCAGTCTAAAGTTGCTTTGAGTTTATAAGATAACATAACCTGTAACCAGAATGATAGTTACTATAAAATCACAGAAGGGCATCTGCTCTCCTGTCCTGGAGAGGGTGCCTAACCTCGACTGCTCCAATAAAAATCTGCATCTTCTTTTATAACTTGACTTTTAGAACTTTCCATGGATAAAAATATCATCTAAGTAACTAATTAAATTACAGCGACCCCCTACATTAAAAAAAGATGCATGCAACCCCCCCACAGAATAGGACAGAAAGAGATTGAGCATGCGGGCAATCTTGGGATCAGAGCATTAGCACTCATACCCACCAGCACTACTCTGATTATTAATCAAAACATTAGCCTGCATTGTCTATGAATTTCATTCACAATTGTGTTAGGACGTCATATGTAGAGTTTATGGGTGTTGTTGAGATTGTGTTTTATGAACACGATTAATGATCATTCCCGAGGAGAGACCTGACTATTACGACCATCCCGGGGTGACACTGGCCAGGCATCTTGCTGACACGCCTCCAAAGCTTCTTGCAGACCCTGTGTAGGTCCTCTCACATCTGGACCTCTCAGTGTGACTCTAAGGGTGAATGACAGGAGGGTAAAAATAGTATAGTATGACTACTATGGCTGCAACAACCAGCCAGCGAGAATAACAGTAAGATAAATATCACAAAGACAAACCCGGTCATTAATATATGACTGGAACAAGTTCTGTAGAACCTCTAAACCACTGATTCCCAATGTGATTCGCGGGGACCCACAGGCACATATTTTTGCTCCCTTCCAGGTCCCAGTAAGCATAAAAGGGAAACACTGCTTGAAACAACTGCACTCGGACCAGAAGATTCTCAACATCTATGCAGAAGGTGCATTTCAAATGTGGCAACGAAAACCCCATCCCACCATTAAAATTGTTGGGTTTTATCGGCAATGTGGCAAAATGAAACCACATTGTTGCATTTTATCTGTGCTCAAAGACAACAAACTGTGATTTCCAGTGTTTAAAGCAGCACTTCTAGTCAATCGATATTCAGGATCCATCATTTCCAAATCAGTTTAACAGACCCTCTGTCGTAAATTTAAATTTAACCAGCCCCCCTTTGCCAAATATGTCCGTCATTAAAAGGCAGTTAATACATCATCATCATGTGTTCAAAATGTGCATAATTAACAAGGTTTGCTGGGTATATTTGCTTCACTGTGTTTATGCCTTGTTAGGACCATTGAAACAATATTTTGGTGCAGAGTGAAAACTAAATAGATAAGACATGAAACGGGTCTTTCTGGGAGGAAAGGCTCCGTTCTCCTCGCTGGCGCTCAGTCCACTGCATGCAGCGTGCGGATCCCGGCATTTGCCGTATAAATGAGTCATCAGCGGCGGCCGCAGGCTGCGTGCATCTCGCATCCCACGCTCTGCAAGCGGCCTCAGCTCTCACTTCCCCCAGTCGTGTAAGGTGGGGAGGGGGAAGTTGGGAGTTGGAAGGGGGACCATATCTAAGTGCGTTTTAATTAGGGTACATCAGAAACGCGCCGCTTCACGTGCGATGCGCGAAGCCACCCGGCGCTCCCCCTGTTGGTGAGGGAGCACCATTGCAGGCTCGACCTGTACACTCGGCGCCCGGCTTCTCCGATCTCATTCTCTAGAAGATGGCGGACGGTGCATCACTGCTGGATGAGGAGCTCTCTTCCTTTGTCTTCAATTACTTGACAGAAAGCTCCGGGAGCCAGGTGAGAGGCACACGGGCCGGGACAGCCGGATCCCGGCTTGGAGCCCCACGGCGGGCGGTTTTAATGGCTTTGCACGCACAGAGTTGCGGCCGGTTTGCACACCTCACGTGGGGGCTTAAGGAAAAGCTGCTCGCCGGGTACCGGCGGCTGTTTAATGGGGATTACGGGAACTGTAAGGCAATCGGACCACTGAACCAGGCACCCGTGCTGGGTCCGGTGACTGCGACTCTTCTGCAGGGGGCTCCTCACACTTCGGCGCCGGATACTTTTTTGCGAGTCCCAGCTGCCGGACACGTGGGTGCCGCGGCTGCTTCTCAGCTCGTCCGCCGGGTGCTCAGCTGCATGCCTGGGTAATCCGAGTTGCTGTTTCCCAGACGTTTACGATCAGGTATGGAAGTGGCCGGGAAGCTTTAATATCGGAGCGAAGAAATTGTGCATGGAGCCGGTCTTTCGGGTCGAGTGCACTGAGCAGCATTTTCGGTGGGGTAACGTGAACCAGCGGGATGGTGAAACCCAGTTGCATGCCGTACAAATCGACCATAAAGACTTTCGTAACACTTTGCGTAACCGCTCTTACAAAAGCGGGTTCACGCTGGCAGGGGTCCGCAGATTTCTCAGCCTCGCCGGTTCGGGCTGCCCGTCCTGCACTTACGCTCCGCAGAAAGCGGTAAGGAAGCCGGGACATCCTTTAAATCGGCTTTGAGGACGTGATGACGTTTAGTTCCCTGCTTCATTAGTTCAGCAAACCGTAGTGGTAGGTATGCTTTAAGAAGAAGCACGGGCGCTTTCAGCCATAAATATACATTTTCGTGCATTATCTGATTATTCTGTTGAAACTCGGTACACAGGGCGCACTGAAACAGTCTGCACCCTAGCCATGCCATTTTCCTCGGTGCTGCAGTCATGTGCTCGCTGCCGTAGTAGTAGCGGAGGGGCGGCTCCCGTGACGTACGCCGGCCGGCCGCGCCTCTACTTGCGCGCGCCCGTCGCAGCCTGCGCGACCCCGCGTCCCTGTCTGCGTGAGTCACAGCTCAGAAGTTCACGGTCTTGCCCGCTACTACAATACCTCTCGAAGCCCCTCCGTACCTCAGTGCTGCCCCAGTCGACACCTGGCTGAGAGGGTCATCTTCTTTATGTGTGTGTGGCTAAAAATATAGAATGTGTGTTTTAAAGGTTTAAAGCAGGTGGTTTAAAATTAGGGCAAAGGTTGCATATGTACACCTGTGTTTTGTATAGGCAGCTGTTAACACTGAGGTGACCTTTTCCAGTGTGCTGTATCTTTTTATTGCTGGGGTCAGAATTCTCTTGTACTGTTAATAAATGAACTATGTCCCTGCCGGTGTCTCAGCCTACCCGCCCTCTCCGTTCGCGTGCTGTCGACCGCGGTTTCCAAGTGCAGAGCTGACCTGAATCTCTGGTTGCTCGCCCGTCTGCCGGTGTGCGGGACTGCAGTGCTATGTGTCCTGCGTCCTGATAGGCTCCTGGCCACCTGTCTCGCATGCTTCAGGCCCCGGCCGAGGGTGCCGCCCCTTTCCTCACGCTGGAATCTGATTGGCTGCCGTGCCGACCTGCTCAGACTGGTTCGTTACTTGCATTTCTTCTGCTGTTAGTAATAACCACAACATGCATGATGTGACGGGTCTCTGAAAGAGAGGATTCACACTTCTGTCACGTGCCGGAGCGAGATAAGAGAATTTTTAACAGTCTCCCTTTGCTGCTGAGTAATGCCGTTTGGGCTGCTGTCTCTGTAGTGTTTGTGCAACACCTGTCCACTCCAGTCAGTGTGTTCTACCCCACTGTCCCCCTTCCCCACCCATGAAGGGCTGATCCAGGCCTGCAAGTGATCACACACACACACACACACACACACACACACACACACACACACACACACAGGGTTGTAATTATATCTTTGTGGGTAGAATCATTTCTGTGGGCAAATCCCTAATCTTTACAATGACAATTTTAACCCCTACTCAGCCCTAACCTGAACCATAAGTAACTAAACAAAATACAGGACTTTTGGCTATTTTAGTTTTTTGATTGCATTCACAGATTTTTATCAATTTGAGTTTTATATTGCGGGGACCTGAAAAATTCCCCCAGAAGCTGAAAAGTAACAGTTTTTTACCACATTGTGGGGACAGCTAGCGTGTGGATATCATTCTTCCCTTCGTTTCTGGCATAATGCAGTGCTACTGGGTGTCTCTCCCTGATTCCCGGAGACCTGCTGCCTTTCATGTGGGGGGTGGCTGTCTGAGGGGGCCATATGGACACACCATCCTGGCCCTGGATGGGTCTGACTATCAATAATTCAGGCCAGGCTGAGCCATGGCTAGGGCTCTGATTGCATGACGTGCAGGAAAGCTTCTCCTGTTTTAAAACCCCTGCGGGGATGACTAAGGAGCCCCCCCCCCCCCCCAATCTGAGGGTACACCTCAGTGGTTTCCTCCTGTCCTGTGGTGACATTAATGGCAGGATTCGTATCTTCTGTACTGGTTCAGATATTTTGAAATGTGAGATAAGCCTTTTCAATGGAGCCTTGTCCGGCATCTGCGTGTGATGCTTGGGGGGGGGGGTGTTTAGTGCCATGTAAGGCTTATTTAGGCTGCAAGTTGGTGTTGTCTGTAATAACGTCCAATTACATGCTGCCGAAATGAGCGCTTATTGCGTAGCTTTGTTACATAATTCATCGACAGACTCGCAGCTGTACGGCACTGCCCCTTCGTTTGTCTGTGGTACAGCCCGAGGAACCATGGCTGGATCTCCGATCCCTCTGAATCTGCACCACAACACTCCTGCTTTCTGCGATCGCTCCTTTCCATAAACACCAGTCCATATTATAATACTAGGGTACAGTGTGTTGGAAGGACAAAATTGGCATATTTTTGTTTAAGAGCTCAGGCTGAGAGTGGTTTCAGTGATTTATGTCGGGGGGGGGGGGGGGGGGCAGCTCATCTTTAGGTGACGAAGCTTGTACCCCTCCTACAAAAAGCAGAACAGCCCCAAAAAGGGCAGCATAGCTGACAGATCGCCACACTGACAATATGAAACGGTGAAAAGGTCATGTGTGTTTTTGAAGCGGTGGGCCGAGGGTGGGCCGCGTTCCCTCCCTCTTCACGTGCCGCTGTGGGTGTTCAGTGAGCCGCCTGCTGCTGGCGAGGTGGCCACCCTTCTTGCTCTTTGGCCTTTCCGTGTGAACGACCTGCTTTGAGTGCCAGGCTGTAAATCAGGGACGCTTTTAGCCCAACTCCAGTCCAAACGGGGAACACAGAAGCTGGAGGGGATAAAACGACCCCGGTGCTGATGTTCTGAGTGCATGTGCTTGTTTTTACATCTCAGAGAAAAAGCTGATGAAATCGATGGTTGTAAAAAGTGGCTGAGGATCCAGTGCCGGTCGATTAGGAGACCGGGGATGCGGAACCATCTGGCTGCTCGTCAGCGCCGAGTGCTGTTGCATAATCGAACATAAGCGTGCAGTGATCAGACGATGCCAAAGTGTGTCAGGGGACTTAGGGTGACCTTGTTTCATCTGCTCGGGCTGCAGAGGTAAGCCGACGTCACAGTAAGCGCATCGCCCCTTCGCTCCTCGCGTGACGGCGACCTGAAGCTTCGCCGCCGCTTCCAGGAAAATCACCTGCAGATGCGGCATGTCGTCAGCGAACTGGAGGCTTGCCGTCAGCTGCTAAAATTAGACGGGAAGATCGGCGCGCTCATCCAAGCGATGCTCGCTTTGGTGTCGGAAATGAGCAGCCCAGGGATGTTGGTACTGGTTTCATGGGCCCAGTCCTTGTGAATTAGATGCTAATCAAATGTGAATCGCTGCTATGCAGCTAAGCAGCTATCTGCTGCAGGGCACACTGACGTATCCCCCTGCTGGTGATCAGTGACACCTTTCCTCATTTACTACAACTTGGCTCTTTTTCTCTCTCCCCTTCTGCTTGCCCTCTCTGTCTGTCTGTCTCTCTCCCTCCCTCTCTCTCTCTCTCTGTTTCTCTCTCTCTTTCAGCCAATGCCTTCTCATTCTGTCCAGATGTGACCAGCTCTGTCTTTTTGGCTATGCTGGTACTTTGTTTTTGGGTTTACTGCGGTCATGACACCGGTGTGACACCAGGAACGGGATGTGCTGTTTTGTGTCGAGCAGATTAATCGAAATGCACGACGGCACTGAAATTGATCCGTTCTTTATATATGAATCAGACATAATGTAAATGGCGCTGGCTCGGTCTTCCCCAGCGTCCTGTGCCTTTTTCCGAGTCTCACCCCCATCTCTTCGATGGCTGTCTGAGTTCATCGGCATAATAAAACGTGTGGCTGTGAAGCTTCTCTGTGGCCTTGCTGACTGTCTCCTCCAGGATGGATGGACTTGTTCCTAAAGCTGTGGGGAAAGGTTGGAAATGCCTTAATCGTGATAGTAATTGACAGTAATTTCTTCAGCTAGTGTCTGGCCGCAGGATTGGCCGATTGTGGTGACAGTAGTTACTCACTAACTCGGTTACTCACTGAACTTACTTTTGTAAGCTAAAGGGGTGAAAGGAGCTGCTGCGATGCAGTGAATGATAGCGGTGATACTTTATCTCCGTCATTCACCGGATTAATATCACGCCGTGAGTAGTGATCCACTTAATGCCACCACGAGTGATTATGGCTGCATCGTGACCTTGATATAAGGGATCGATTCAACTCCTGAGGTCAGCTCTGGCATACCAGAATCTTGTTATTAGACCTGGTTAAACGTTGAGTAGTCTTACAGCGTGTCCCACATTTAATCTTTATTTTAAAATTCATATTCAGGTGGATATCTCTCGGGGGTTTCAGGGCAAAGTATGATGGTTCGAGAAGTGAATGTTTCTTTAAAGTTCTGCAGGGAAACGTAAAAACATTTTCTTTAATTTATCCTTTTCAATTTACTGGTCCAAAAATACACCGTGTTGCTATGAGACGGTGACGGAATTGGATGAAGATGTCTTTGAAATCTCAGAATGATGACCTTAGCCTTC